TGTGAAGTATTGTATGCGAGAACGCACACACTTTGCATTTTACACTCAACATCAGCTTTTGCACAGTCTTTGGCTGGACTTTCTTGGTAGCTCTAATCCATTTATTTTTGAAGTCTGTAATGTTTTTGGCTTCTTTTACATTTAACCTTAATTTTCTTTTGACAAGAGCCCAATATCTTTCAATAGGATGTAATTTGGGACAATTTGGTGGATTGCTCTGTTTTGCGACAAAATCTACTTTATGTTCTCTAGTTGTCCCAGAGTAATGAAATGGTGCTAAATCGGGCCAAAATAATGGGTTACTGTGTGTGTTCTTAAAAACTACAAAAGATGTTTCTTGAGGCATTCTTTTATTTATATTTTGGTGTTAATTGTTCCTGTAGTCACAAAACAAAAGCATCTTTCACCATATTCACAAATTGCTTGCCAAACTAAGAATTTTTTAGCAAATTTTTGCATTCCAATGCATTTATAATTGGAATTCAGTTTCTTGCGATTAATTGCTGAATAATATTGGTGCCCTGGAAGAAATCAGAAATATACAGTACAATAAGTTTCATCTTCAATAATTGAACAAGATTTTTTGGCACATAATTTTTTTATAGAACAGCTTTGAACAATGAATTGCGACATTTACTTGCTTTTCTTCACAACGAGGAACTTTTTTCTTTTTATAAAATTTATAGCAGGGTTGGCATTAAAAAACCCGCCCAAAAAAACCCGCCTAAAAAAACCCAATAAAACCCTGGAAAATCTGGGTTTTATTGGGTTTTTTTAAAGATATTTATCAAGTTAATGAACTATTATAACCAACTTTAACATTATAACTATAATATTATTAACTAAAATAATTATTAACTATTATTATTAACTAAATTATTATTAACTATTATTATTAACTACTATAACCAACAATAACAGCTACCAGAGCAGGTTTACTATTATTTGAATCATTATTTGGAAATACATTATTACATTTTTTATTCAAATATTTTTATCGATTGAGATTTTTATTACTTTATGTTATTCACCTCCCAAGTTGAATTTAAATGAGTATTAGTGACCAGAGAAGCCAACACGACAGTGTTGGCTTCTCTGGTCACTAATACTCATTTAAATTCAACTTGGGAGGTTAAATTCAAGTGAGGAGGCTACCTTGTTGTGGTTACAATCCTCTCTCAACTCTTACGCGGTAGTGGTGTTGTCGTAGAGTGCTCGCTTCATAAGTGAGAGGTTCCGAGTTCAATCCCCACTATGTCCCTGGCAGTACTGCGCTTTATTCCTTTCTCCGCGCAGCGGCCTTGTTCGTCAAGGTTCGTGTTTTGGAGTTATAGAGTTGAGAGAGGGTTATAACCACAAATAAATAGCCTCCTCGCCTGTAGTGGCCTTAAACCTTAAGGAGGTAAATTAATTAAAAAAAAAAAAAAAAAAAACTCTTTAACTCCTAAACACGAATCTTTATAAACAAGGTCGCTGTGCAGAGGAACAAGTTTGTTCATTTGAATTTCAAGTTCAAAGTTTAATTGAAACTTCAGTTACTACCTCCCATTCTCTAGCCTTCTTTTTCCCATTTTCTCATTGACATTTTTAATTATATAGAATAATACTTTTAAATTTAAAATAAATCAATACATATAGATTTAGCGTGAAATTTTTTTTTCTATTACAGTTTTAAATTATATTTAAAAATCTTTTTCAAAATAATTTGAAGAATTCTTGTTATAAATAATTAAACAACGATATATAAAATATGTTTTAAATAAAGTTAAAGTAGAAAATGAAACTAATTTTCAATATCATTAAACAAAAACACAAAAAAATTTTTTACAGGGACAAAATAAAAATTAAACCCAAAAAAACCCACTGGGCCGGGTTTTTTTAAAAAAACCCGGGTTTTTGCCAACCCTAATTTATAGCCACATTTTCTCTTCGTTCTTTGTATAGTGGAAGCACTTGTCTTAAATTTATTTGCTAAAGTTTGAACAGAAATCTCCGGTTTTCCGTCTAAGGCATTTTTAACTTTTTTACCAAGATCTCGTCTAACAAAACATTTTTTTCTTCCTCTTCCTTTTGATTTTACTAGTGTCCTTAAATTGTTTCACAATGCTCTGCACTGTTCTCAAAGCAATCTGCAACTCTTTAGAAATTGTTTTGTTTGATACACCAGGATTTTCAATGAGAAAATGTAAAATTTTAATTGCTTCTTATTTTGATTTGATGACATTTCAATTAAAACTAATTGTTTTGCTAACAGAGTTGTTTAAATTTTGAATAACACTAATACAATGACATTTTATAACAATTAGCTATTTAAAATGATGCACGGTTTCCTTAAATACCACATCAGAACAGGTGCAGATTTTTTCTGGTATTTTTTCTTAAGAATAAGCATTAACTGTTCTCATGAGCATCTAAGATTAAACATTAACTGTTCTCATGAGTATATAAAAGTAAACATTAACTGTTCTCATTTGTAGCTGGGGCCGGGTTTGAAAAAAGTTTTATATTTAACCGGGGTCCCAGCTAAAAATGAGACTTTTTTTTTTAATGAGACTCGCCTAATTCATTTAGTGGCATTTAGTCGGCTAGTTTGTGGTATTTTTTAAAAAAACTATTTAACGAGGAAACTTTTTTTAATGACGCTTTGGGGGAGACGCATTTTACAAAAATGACAACTGACTAACAAACAAAAAAAAACATGTTTTTTCTTTATTATATAGACATAGCGAAACCCTTTTAAACAAAGTAACAACTTCCAACGAGTTTTTAATAAATATGCATATTTAAAAGATAACAGCAACAACAAAAAAACAATTCTTCATAGTAATGTAAACAAAAGAAAAGTAACTAAATCTTTTCTTTTGTTAGAAATCCAATATCAGAAAGCAAATGAGGAAAAATGAAGATGAAAACAGAAAATAATGAACAAAACTATTATTTTAATTTATACTTTGATTTAATTTGTTAATAATTCACTTTTTTTTCATTTAAAGGCTAAAGAAAAAAAATCATAAAAATTATAAAAATAAAATTATATTTATATATTTTTTTTAACTTGCATTCTTGCAAAAAATTTTGTTTTATTTCGAGTCTATTGACTTAAATCAATAATTTTTTATTTAAAGACAAAAGAAAAATACATTAATTTTTTAATGTAAAAAAATCATTAGCAGTGAATTGTTACTTTAAAAGTGTTTTAATAATAAAAAACAATAGTAAAGATCAAAGTTTAATTGAAACGTCTTTAATTCAAAAGTTTGTCTTTTTTTCTTCTCAACAAATTTATAAAACTTTCATTTTTAAAGTATAGGTGAAATTTATGCAACTTTCATCTATACTTTAAATTAACGTTAACAGTAACTGTTACTTTATTTAAAAGCATTTTGCTAATATAAAAACGTTAGTAAAGATAAAAGTTTCCAAGTTATTTATTTTTGACGTAATTAAAAATAATTTCTTTCAGCGCATTTTTAAAATGTTAAAAACCATGGTCAAATCGTCATAATAAAGTATTATTTGCGTGGTCATATAATGGCGTGCGATCACACGCTTTCCTGAACAAGCCTGGTTATAATCCTCTCTCAACTATATAACTCTAAAACATGAACCTTGACAACCAAGGCCGTTGCACAGAAAAACAAGTTGAGCACGGTACTACCAGGGACATGGTGGGGATTAAATTCAGTACTTTTCGCTTATTGTGCAAGCACTCTACCACTACACCACGACCGCATTTCATTTACGATGTGCTTTTAGACTTTGTCTGAGAGTAAGAGGGTTGTTATTCATCAATATAGGAATACTTGTTTTTAGCAATCAAAGAGAGAAGATTTTTTGTCAAGACAAGAGTATAAAGTTGAATTGTCAACAAATAGAGCCACTTTAGATGTTAAATTTTCATAAAGATTGATATTGTAGATAAGAAACAATACAGGAGCAAAAATTTAAGGGTACCATAAGATACCTTGTGGTACCCTTAAAGTTACTTAAAATAAAGAAGAGTGTAGACCTTCAAGAATAACTTTATTACTGCAGTTAATTAGAAATAGTTTAATAATCTCAAAACCTTTATATAAAGAAACTAGTAACAAAGTGAAGACTATTTGTAGGATAGTTAGAGAGGTCAAAGTGTTTTCTAGAGTTTTGAAAAATTGGAACCATTTATTTAGCACTTTTTAAAAATTAAATATTAAATATTATTTAATTGATAAGATTAAATGTTAGACTTACTTTAGTTAATGACCTTGTTGAAGACTAACCAAAATCTCTAGAACCTAACATCTGATATAAGAAACAAGATTTAGTAAACTGAGAATAACAGAGCTTAACATGAGACAGGACCTTTTTACATTGGCTTCTTGGAATAATAAAAGGACATTTATTCTCAAGAGAAATATTCTCGTAAAAAAGATAAAATATATAATTAATAAAGCAACTGCTCAAGATGGTGAAAAATATGGAGTAAATTGAGGTTGGACTTAAAATCGAAGAGTAGGAATAAAAGCTTTGAAACTTTTAGTGCAGAAAGAATAAAAGCCTCTGAGATGTAAACATTTATCTTTGTTAATTATTTAGATGCTGCTATACAATATCCTTTCATATATATATAAACTGTAGTGTTTATATGGTGTAGTATTTGCCGAAAAAGAAGATGGTGGTGGTGGTGGTGGTAATGATGATTATGATGATCATGTTAATCATGTTAATCATAATGACTTTTATATATGCAAATATATACAAAATATAACATGAATTTTGAATAAAAAAATATACTTTAGGATGTATAAATGTTTCTGCATTCCCAGTCACAAATCCAGCCCTGGTTATATTTTATCAAACCCGGCCCCGGTCAAATATCAATTCCGGTTGTTTACTAGTTCTCATAAGCATCTAAGAGTAAACATTAACTGTTCTCATGAGTAAACAATAATTTAAATTGATAGTTTTACCAATGTTAAATTTTAATTATAAGTAGATATAATTTATTTTGTTGTAACTAGGGTCTAAAGCAAAATGATTCATATTTGTGGACCAAAGCTTTCCAATTGCTGTTTTGTTTTAAGCATTTGGGGAATAATTATGTTGGTATGTGTTTTTTTTTAACTTTATTGATTTTCCTATTTAACATGGCAGATATTTTTTCTGCGTTATTACTTTATTAAGTATCATTTATATTACTTAAGGTTTTATTTTGTAATTTACTTTTGAACTGATATTAAATTTTATTGTTCACTTATCTGATAATAATTTTCATAATTTACTTTTTTTGGCATTAGCTTTGATGGTAACTTTTATATTATATATTATTTTTTTTTTTTTAATAAACAAGTGTCTGTCCATTATCTAAATTGATAAAATGTTTTTTTTTTGTTTAAAGATTTTAATGGGTATCTTTTTCAATATTGAGTCAGTAGCTCTAATTGAAGATATTCCAAGTACTGATGATGGTTACAGCCAAGCTTCTAAGTAATTTTTTTTTATAATTTTTTTTATAATTTTAACAAGATGCAGTTATTATACAATGACTGTTTGTAATACCAATAGCATACCTATGAATTAATGTTGTCTTTTGTTATATTGATATCATATCACTATTCTTTATCAAATCTATTTTGTCGATATCTATAATGTCAATATTCAAGCTAAATATTATTTGGTGATTAATCAACATTTTTTTAAATAAAGTATTGCATACTAAAATTTTTATTTAGGTTCAAGTTTTCCCCTTAGATTCCTTTCAAACAAAGTTCTGACCAAATGCTAATTGTTTTTTTAACTTTTTTTTTTTTTTTTTAAACATCTTCGCTTCCAACAAGGCTGCAAGCAACCACTAATTAGTGTTGGAAGTTACTGGAAGAGAAAAGATGAAGATTGTAGAGCAAGAGAAAGATTGACAGACGTCTTAAAAGGTTGCAAATTATATGAATCAGGAAAGCAAGATGAAGGAAGGGAATTCCAAAGAACTGATGTTCGAGGAAAAAAACTAGACAAGTAAGAGTTTTTGGAGCACTTAGGAACAGTAACAGAAAAAGGATGAGACTTAATTGAATGACAAGTAACATGAGAATGAATTTTAGTAGATGGCACAAGAGATGCTAGCTCTTTCGAGCAGTGCCCATTATAGTATTTGTGGAAAAGAGAAAGAGAAGCAAATGCTATTGCAGTTGCTTCTCTTTCTCTTGATTTTTCTCTTTTCTACCTTCTATTGCAGGTAGAAAAGAGAAAGATATCTTTTTCAACCTGCTATTGCAGCCAACCTGCAAGAGGTTGAAGGTTGGCTGCAATAGCAGGTTCAACTATGTTTACATTGCGTTTTTGTACCTTGTCTAAAAGAGAAAGGGTATCATGAGAAGATCCACCCCAGATATGGCCACAGTATTCCGTACAAGGCCGGATTTGAGATTAATAGAGATGGAGAATAGAATCCAGAGTAAGAAAGTGTCGAGCTCGATAAAGAGATGCAACTTTAGCAGGTTATAAGGTTTCCAATAAAGATCAGAAGTGAGAGTTAATCCTAGAAGATAAAGGGTAGATGACTCATCGAGTACATTACCATTCATTAATATAGGAAGGTCTAAATTATTGCAATAATGATTGGCTGAAAAAATTGAGTCAAGGATTGAACTTTGAGGAACCCCTGAGGTTACAGAATAAGAAGAAGAGTGCTGTCCAACAAGGACAACTTTTATACTACGATTGGAAAGAAAGGATTCAATAATCTTAAAGATGTTTCCAGATACACCGTAAGAAGAAAGCTTATGGAGAAGACCAGCATGCCAAACTTTATCAAACGCTTTAGAAATGTCAAGAGCAATGGCCTTAACCTCTCCACCTTTATCTAATGCACGATAAAGTCTATTAGTTTTTACTGTTAGCAAATCATCCGTAGAATGAGAAGATCGAAATCCATATTGATGATCAGAAAGTAGGTTATGAGATTCAAGATGAAAGATTAAGTGTTTCTTAATTAAAGATTCAAAAACCTTGTTTATGATAGGAAGAAGACTAATGAGATGGTAGTTAAATGAGTCGGATCCCTCTCCAGAATTTTTAAAAATAGAGATAACAGATGCTGCTTTCCAGCAGGCTGGAAGACAAGACTCTGATAAGCACTTGTTAAATAGTTTTGAAAGGATAGACGACAGCTCCGGAGTTTTTTAACATAAAAATTGTTTTTTTAATTATTAATTTACTTATGTCCTAAAATATATCTTAAATAAATAAAGTCTTGAATTGAAAGTGAGTTTTCTTTAATTTTTAAGTTGATTAATTTGGAAAACAGTTTTGATTTTCTTGAATACTTTAATAAAAAACTAACTTGCATCCAATTTTTATGCTGCTAGGAGAGTTTTGTGGGCCTGTTACATTAGTTAAGAGATGTCTGCATTCAATTTATCTGTAAAATCAGTTATTATAAATAATATCCTATTTCAATTAATGTCATAAGTTATGATATTTATCAGTTGTGGACAGGAAAGGCATGCGATTGCACGCCTTTTCTGTCCACAACTGATACATATCATAACTCTATTCCTGACCACGCATTTGTTACTTTTTTGTGACAACCACAGCTAAAATTTTGAAAATGTTTGAAAAATGCACTAAAAGAAAATACGGTAATTAGGCGAAAAATTGCTTTTAAAGATTGCTTACCATAAAAAACATTTAAATTATCAAAGATATTGTTAAAAAGTCTTTTTTACGATGAATATAAATATTTTAAAAAAATTTGGTACAATTAATTTTATAAATAACAATGAAAATGATTTTTTTAAATAAACTTTTAGATGAATCCATAAATTTAATAGTTGAAAACATAATAAAGTTATTTTTTTATTTATTTTTTTCTTTGCTTATGCTATGTAAACTTTCTAATAAAATTTATTTACGCTAAGCTAAAGGCTTTCAAATAAATTTTAAAACACCATCAAATAAATTATCATAGAATAATAAAAAAATCTTCAAAAGTATTTTAAGTAAAAGAATATCAAAAAAAATTTCTAAAGTATTTTTTAATAAATGTAAAACACTTTGTATTCTTAATATAATAAACAACGAAGACAACGAATGTGTTTCAATAAACTTTTTTTAAAAATATGTTTTGATAATTTAAATAAAGTTTGTTTTTTATTAAATGATAATTAATTTTTTTTTTATTTAAAAAAGTTTGCCTAAATATTATAAAAACTTTTGAAAAGATCAAAGTTTTATAGTTCAATGCATTGGTTCTAAAAGGATAATAACTGTATTAGGAGAATTTAAATAAAATCATTTTATTATTTAATGTTTAATTAAAATTACTTATATTATTTATTTTTTTTATTTGCTTATGTGTTCTTTTTTTTTGATTGATATAATAAAATGTATAAATTAAATATTTTCATTTGATTGTTTTATTTAGACATGTTTACATTTTTTCTTCCTTTGTAGTGCTTTTATAATTATTTAAAAGCCATGGTTAAACTTTCAAAAAAAAAAATTACATGCGTGGTCAAGATTGGAATGCGATTGCATGCTTTTGCTGTTCATGGCTGATATTTATTACATAATAAATATCAGTCGTGATATTTTATGCCAATTTATACCATTTTCTTTAAATTAGTACAAATTGAAACTGGAATGTTTCCATATCTATATTTTATATTGGTTTACTCAAGAGTGAAACTGTTTCATTAAGCATTTTTTAAGCTGATTTTAATTTGGTACTGATTTTAAAGATGTTGATTATATTCATTTTGTTTTAAAAAAAAAGTCCTTTTATTTTTTAAAAAAAAGTCTTTGTGTTTTAAAAAAAATAGTCCTTTCTTTCTGTAAAAAAAAGGACTTGTCTTTTGAAGCGAAGAAATGGTTATTAAACAGCTATAACGAGATTCGTAGGTGGGGTTTCCATTAAATGTTTTTTAAGTAGGTTTTTACAAGCTGAGCAAATTAGGTCATACATTGATGTGCTGCAAATTAATTTTTGCCATGTTTTTTAGCATATTGTAGATGTTTTTTTTTTTATTGCACAGTTCAAAAGCATTAATTATTTATTGTAGCTAATTCATGGTGCAAAAAAAATTCCTCTGCTTGTGCTGTTATAACAGTTGTTTGCATAAATATTTAATATCTCTTGATGTCTATGGCATTGTGTGATATCAATTGATGTCTATGGCATCATTTGATATCTCTTGATGTTTATGGTATCCTTTGATATCTCTTGATGGGACGACTGAATAAGCACAAATTTCACAAGTGCAAATAGCGTATGTGCAAACTTGCATAAGTGTGAACTGGCATAAGTGTGAATGGACATTAATGCGAACTGGCGTAAGTGCGCCAAAAGAATTTGTTAACATTGGCATAAGTGTTGAATGCTACTTTGCACTTATGTTAATATTTGCAATTTTATTTGGCGCACTTATGCCGATTTGCATTTATTCCAGTTTTTGCAACTGCTTTGCAATTATGTCAGTTTGCACTTATACCAATGTTAGCAAATTCTTTTGGCGCACTTTTGCCAACTCGCATTTATGCCAATTCACTCTTATGCCAATATTTGCAAATTCTTTCGGCGCACTTATGCCAATTCACATTTATTCTTGTTTTTGCAACTGCTTTGCACTTAAGTCAATGTTTGCAAATTATTTTGGCGCACTTATACCAGTTTTTACAATGCTTTGCAATTATGAAATTCAAAGTGATTGAATGCCTTGTCTATGGCATTCAATCACTTTGCTTTTAGATTTCTATTTTTGGATATCCCTAAGTCATGTAAATAATTGATAATTATTTAGTAATCAACCTCTTAAGTTAAAAGTGAGTGAAACTCCTGAATCTGAAATTACTTTTTACATTTGACATGCACCTTCATTGAGCAATGCCTTTAAATAAACTTCCTCATGGTCCCTGAATAATTAAAAAAAAATTTTCGGCTAAATTTTTTGATTAAAACAAAAGAATAAATGCATACCAAGGAAAATTAACTTTTTATTTTAGTCAAAGCTTGCCTTCTCTGTTTTGTAGTAGGCCAAATAATCTTCATAATACACTCCACAATCTACAGACTTAATAATTTATTCAAGCTCATTTTATTCCTAAGAGTTTTAGTACATGACATTATTAAATTATTGTTTTGTTAAATGTACTAAAAATAAAAAGTTAGTTTTCCTTGGTATGTATTTATTCTCTTGTTTTAATCAAAAAAATTTATCTGAAATGTTTTTCATTTTTTTAAAACATTCTCTTTATTATGAACACAATATGTCTCGATGGTTTGGGATCTCTTTAATATACATATTTGTACATGTTTTAAATTGATGAATGTTTTGATTTTTTAGAAATTGTTTTATAGCAGCTGGAATCTATGTAGCAGTACTTATATTGTGTTGTTATCAGAAATGGGCAATTTCAAAAGGCTACAAAAGGTTTTAAATTTATAAGGTATTTTAATCAAATTATAAGGTATTTTAATCATATTATCAGGTATTTCAATCATATTATCAGGTATTTCAATCATATTATAAGGTATTTCAATCATATTATCAGGTATTTCAATCATATTATCAGGTATTTCAATCATATTATAAGGTATTTCAATCATATTATAAGCTAGTTCAATCATATTATAAGCTAGTTCAATCATATTATAAGGTAGTTCAATTATGTTTCAATCATATTAATTTTTTATTAAAAATAAGAAGTTTACATTGTTACGATAAGTACATGTTGAATTATTTTACTGAAAATTTTTTATTTTTTGTTAATTGAATTCACATGCTTTTGTTTTTGGATATTATTTGAACTAATTATCTTCTTTTCTTATATATATTATTTATACTTACATTTTTCCATGCATATTTATTTTGCATTATTTTTTGAGCATGCATTATTGCGAAAAATTTTGAAACACTAAAAAGCAAAATAAAAATTAATTAAACATTTAATGTTTTATTAAAAATAAAAAAAATTTAAAATAATATACCATCTTTGCAGTGTTTATAAAAAAAATGAATTTTTTATTTTTTATAGTTCTTAGTTAATTTTTTATTTTATTTTTATGAATCATATTTATTATTTAAATATGTAGAATTATGGTGTTGTTTTTTTTCTTTGTTTCTAATTTCAAAAACAGAAAGAGATAAGTTTGGTGAAAATTTATATGGAGATTCTAAATCTGATAAAATTTTACATGATTTTTTTTATAAAGGAATATGAATCAGCATTAAATGTCTTGCGCAGAAAAGTTCAAGTTTTATTGCTTGTTTTAGAGCCATTGTTTAAGGATTCCTAAAGTGGACTGTGGCAAATTAAGAGGGATTAGTAAATAAGAGTATTTCATTTTTAGTCACGTCAAAAAATCTTTTAAATTTTTGTACACAGCTCTATAACTTATATACAACATTAAAAATAATATTTTTATTACTAAATTTTAGGTAACTTGCAGAGTGAATTTTGAAAAGGTGTTAAGTTGCATTAAATTGATTTTTATAAATCGACAAAAAACTTGACTACTTAGGCACATAAATTTTGTACTAATAAGGCACAACTAAATTTATATTTTCTCTATCTATTATTAGAACCAAGAGTCTACTATTAGATCTAATATTTAAATAGATAGTAGATTTCAGTATATAAAATTTGGAAATAGAATAAAGTCCAATTTTTTACATCAGTGACTTAGCACCTTTTCAAAATTCATTATTCAAAATTCACTCATTTGCTATATTTAAGAGTTGCATGGTTAGTCTAGAACAACCATAAGTTTTCAAATTTTCTCTGTCTTTATGGGTTAAAATTTTTCAGCATCAGTAATTAGATATTTTTGCCAAATTATCTCCGAGTTTAGTATTTTTTATCTTTTGCCCTCCTTAGCTCTAGCATTTTTTGTTGTTGTTGTTGTTAGAGTACAGATCTTAGATGTATTAACTAAATGCATTCCTTTGAATTTATGAACTAATTTCATTTCTTTTCAGTTTTAATTTAGGAATTTTCTTTTTCTGGATTTATTTGAAATTCCAGATATTTCTTTCAACTTATAGTTTTTTGGATTTCAAAAAAGTTTTCCATAAATACAAGTTTAAATATATACTTTTGTAATATATATATATATATTTTTTTAACTTTTTCAGTCTTTTTTTTTTCATACAAATTTAAATATATACTTTTGCAGTATATTTATTTTTAACTTTTTCAGTTATTACTCATACAAAAAATAAGCAAAGTTTCAAAAAAATCAAAAAAACCATTAGCTTAAATCTAAAATAAGACAACTGTAAAATTTCTGATTTATTTTTGCAAAATGTTTTCCAAATTTTTAAAATACGAATTATTGTTATTATTGCAACATTTTTTTTTTAATTTAATTGAATTGGATTTCAAAAAATTTCTGATTTATTTTTGCAAAATGTTTTCCAAATTTTTAAAATACGAATTATTGTTATTATTGCAACATTTTTTTTTTAATTTAATTGTTACAATTGGAATAAAAAAGATCCATATGTCAGTCAAAGCTCTTTGAAAATGAAAATAAATATATACCTGTCCATGTTCCAATACAATATGTCAATAAATATATACCTGTCCAAGTTCCAATACAATATGTCAGTAAATATATACCTGTCCAAGTTCCAATATAATATGTCAAAGTTTTTAAAAGTGAAAAAAAAAACTACAATCTAAGGAAACAATTTGTTGTAGTGATCAATCTGTAATGAGAAGCAGGATCTAATTCATTAATTCAGTTGTGTAACTATTGGACATAGAGATGCTCACAATGGTAGGATGCTTTATGTGAAAAACAAGCAATAGTTTCTAATTTTACAAACAACAACCTTCAATAAAACTAACAACAACTTTCAACGAAACTCACTTTAAACACTTGTTTTTATAATTTATTATTTTTATTGCAATACATTTTACGATAATTTTAATTTGACATTAGTAATGTCAAATTACAATGGTTTACACAATATTAATTTTAAAACTCATAATTTATTTTTTGTTGTACTATTTAAAGTAAAAGGAAAATTATTTACAAATTTCAAAAAATCTGTTGTCATTAAACAAGTAAGGTTTATAATTCTTAAATTTCTTAAAAAGTAAATTTATGGTTATGCATAGGGAGGGGGAGGAAGGTTCATTATTTATGGTTATGCATAGGGAGGGGGAGGAAGGTTCATTATTTATTATCATGATGAGCATAACATTACAAATACAAAATTCTTAAGATAACTCGAAAATTGCCAATTTACAATTAACATGAACAATTGTGAATTCTGTTGTAATGTTATTAGTGAACAAATTTATTATTACTTTTGCGTTAAATTCAATAAACTGTTGACTAATAATCAAAGTAGCAAATTTCAAATAATGAAAATTAATTTAAAAACATATTTCAAAAGTACACATAAAAGTAAAATAATGATTAGAAATTTTAATAAAATGTGTAGCAAAAAAAAGTCGTAACGATTATACTAATTAAAACAAATTTCTTTTCCCATATAGTGCTGTACTTTTTGATTAAAACTTTAACTATGTAGTTAAAAAAAGAAGTAAATATCATTTATGAATTTTATTTTGTTTTTTGTTATTATCAAATGTTTCATTTAAAAAATGTAACAAAACACTAAAAGGACAGTTGTGATGTACATGGTACTTTTTTAAATTTGATTTGAACAAAGATTGAACAAAGTTCCATATCTTAGTAAATTTTTTGCAGAAGTAAAATTTCTGGCCGTCGTTATTACATTTGTTATGTCGAATAAGTTTTTTGGCATAACATGTTGTAGAGTAGTGAGAAGGTGCAAATGTAAAAAACTAAAAAAAGTAGATCGACAAGATTGTGTATTTCGTATGTCATTTTAATGTCAAGTTTTGTTCTACGGCAGGAATAATCTTTATAAGGAATATGACATCTATTACAGACAATTCTAGTAAAATATTTCTGAACCTTTTCTATTCGAGATATATCTTACGGTAGGGATTCCACACTGAGGCATAAGATTCTAATATAGGTCGAACATAAACTTTAAAGGCTCTTATCAAAAGTTGGGAATCCTTACTGATAAAAGATTTTAAAAGTAAATACGAGAATGCGCCTTGTCTGTAATAAAAGAACATGTGACTTTTATAAATTCGCAAAATAGTTCATATATTATTTGATGCTGTTAAACTAAATTAAAGCTATCCAATGGTATTGCTTTTTCATTTAATTTTTTTTTTGTCCAACACCCTTCAGTAAAATATATTTTATTTATTATTTTTAACTAAATTTCTATTAAACAAGAAATTTCGTGCAATAATTTCTTATAAATGATAAAAAACTTTGACTATATATGATTTGAACTCTTTTTGATTTGTGGGTGATATAAATTTTATATGGTCATAATTTTAGTTGAGGAAAGGAAATTATTTTCTTTCACGTTTGTGGTAAGGAGAAATAAAGTTTTTGTTACTTTTTTAATAACTGTTAGATAAACAGGTTTTAATTTTAATTTTAGATAACTGGAAGTTTTACATTCGTTACATCACTTTAACAGCCGTAATTTACTTTTGTATAAAAAGAATATTTTTGTTTATGTAGTATAAATGGATTTTTAGTTATTAATTTTTTTTTTGTATAATTTGTGTTGTTTTTATGCTTAACTGTTTTTTTTTTATTTCTTATGATTGAGCTAATGTACCGGAGTTTAAAGGTAATCAGAAGTATCTAAACCGCTATATTTTAACTTAAATATTTACAAAAATTGTTTTACGCATTGAGATTTTTTTTAAATTACTTGTTGCGCGGATTTGTTTAGAAAACTTATAAACGCCTGGTGAATTCTGGACAAACGTCTGTATGTGTAAACGTCTTTAACATATGTTGAGTTTGCAAGCATTATATGAAATAATTGCGTATAATATCTATAATATGAGAAAACTTAAAATTTTATTTTAAATTTTATAAACTTTTTTGCTATAATATTACTTTTTTGCTATAAATATATAAGCAAGATTGAAAAAATATTAAAATATTACGCTATAAGAGGAGGTCTTTAACCCCCCAAAACAACACTTAACCACTGAGGTATCAATAAAATACATTTAGCAGAAAAACAAACCTAATTATAAGTCTCTTATAAGCTTTACGTATGCGGAAAAGGTGCACATGTTAAGTTTTTTGCTCTTAGAGTTTTTTTTTCAGAATAAGTTATTTTACTAAAATATATTAAAGTAAATATGTATAGAAATAATCGGTTTGGAGTAAATATCTATTCCAAAAGTAAATTGGTGAAGACCTGTATTTTAAGAATCCGGAAAGCTAGGATATATATGGAAAAAGTATAGAAAAGTTTGGTTTGGAAAAGGCTTACAAAGACCCGTATTTTTACGGGTACGACCTCAGTTAGTTTTATATGATTGTACGTCATAATGACGACTATTACAAATATCCAATTAGAAAAGTATTATATAAAGTTTAAGTAATTTACTAATTTGTTTAAAAATATTCTTTATATTCAATAAACCTTGAATAACTCCTGTATAACAAAAGGTTGATTATACGTCAAAATGATGACTATCTTAAATATCTAATTAGTTAAAATATGTAAAGTAAACTAATCAATATATTTTATTAATTTGTTTTCAAATATTTTATATATTTAATAACCCTTGATCAACTCTTGTATAACAAAAAGTTTTGAAATTATATTATTAATCTAGAAATCTACTTGCGAATATAATTCCATTTATCTAATTATACAAAAACGAGGTCACGAGACAAAAACAGTTTTGATTTTCGTCAAAAATGAGAAATATCTTCTAATTTGAATGCTTATGAGATTAGTTAATAAAATATTAAAAGTTAATCTAATTGAAGGAGTAGTAGTTGCAAACAATCTCTAGTTCGATCTATAAATGATTTATGATATGACCTACAATACTTGAAAAATTATTTTTACCATAGTCATAGAAAATAGATTCTGCTATTGTTTCGCAGTGGAAGCTATTAAAGTTCTACCACTTATATGAAACCATCAGGCCGTAATAGTCTTAAGAGAAGGAAGAAATATTTTATATAAGTGTAAGAGAGTGATAGAAATATAAATTATAATATTTAGACAGATGTCCAGTATTAGGAGGTGGTGTTTAAAAGAGAAGTACTATTCAGTGATTACGCTTGAGTTAAGTGAGTGTTGTTTATGTTAGATATAAGTAAGTGTTGTTTCAGTGTTCTGTAAGTTATTTTGTTTTGTGTTTGTACTGTTCTAAACGTTAAAGTTTTGTGTCATTTAATGTCTTTATTTGTATGAATCTGTGTGTTCGTAAATAATTTGATTCTCAGTCTTGTTCAGTTTCGTTTTTATTATGTCTCTTTATATATCAGGTTCGCAACTAGAATAAGTGAGTATAGTCACTAGTGGAACTTCCTAGTAAGCACAGAACGTTTTTAAAACGTTTAAAAAACCTATTAAAACGGTATTTAAAGTTTTTTAAGCGTTTTAAAAACGATATTTGCTTACTGGGTTATTTAGCCGTAAATGCCTTAGATAAAGGAAGTGATTGATTTTATTAGAAATAATTATTGTTTTTACTTAATTCCAGTTTTGTTTTAATTAGTACAGGTTCAATTATAATTCATACCGTTTAGTGAAGTTGATCGTTTTAGTGAATTTGCTTTATAAAAACATGCACCCTCATAACGGAAATATTCGTTTTAAATTTAGTTTATATACTCAGCGATCGATCAATACAATAAGTCTGTTTATTTTCATGCAACCTGAACACCTTCAGCCTCAGATAAAAAATAGAAAACATCTAATTAAACCTATATGAACTTATAAGACAAATATACAAAAACTTATTACAAAAATCAAAACAATTATTAACAATTGCCATCGTTGTAGTGAGCATAATGTGATACACAATTAACATATTAAACTAAATAGTGAAAGAATAACTACAATGAAACGTATATTTTAATTTGCATATAAACTGAATATAAAATTAGTATCTTAAATAGACCATATAAAATGAACCAAGTAGAAACTAAATTAGAAATGAATTATTTTACTAATAATAATAACTTGAGCTAAGTTTAAAATTAAACCATATATCTGTATTTAAATATACAAAAATTAGTCTTAAATATAAAACGAAGAAAAAAAAAAGAATCTTTTCAACCCGAGCAAAAAATATGTTTAAACTAGAGCTATTGACTGTAAATTGGATTTTTGTTTTTCTCAAGACATGTTCTAAAACAGCTACAAACTTTTTCTGGATAAATTTTTCAATTTGTACGATAAGCAACTAAAAGACATCTAAATCCTTGGTTCACTAAAAACCTCTTAAAGTCTTCGAAGCGAAAACATAAGCTATATATACGCTTTATTAAATCAAAGAAAGATCGTGACAAGCATAATTACTTCGAGCACAAACGTCTATATGAAAAAAAACTAAAAAAATAGCCAGAACTACATACTAAAACAAAAACAAGCTGCTACAACAAAAAGGTAACTGGAAAAAAAACGTCGGATGCTGTTAAAGAGATTCTTGGAAAACAAAAAATACACAACAAAGTCTTACCAAGCGTGATTACCGTAGACGGCACACAGATCTCTGATCTCTGACAACAAAATTTAATGAGTTTTTCGTGAATATTTGTCCAAACTTAGCCAGTAAAATTAAACACACTCCGCTCATTCTATTTCAGTAGGCATAATCAAAGACTGTTATGAATTTATTAAAGATGTTTTATTAGATATTTTTAAGAAATCGCTCAAAACAGGTGTTTTTCTAGATAAACTGAAAGTTGCAATTATTGCACTCATTTTTAAATCAGGAGATGAAAGTCTGGTTACAAATTATAGACCTATAACCTGTTTTTTCAAAAACCCGCGAACGTATCGTGTATAATAAGATATTTGCATTTTTAAATGATAAAAATCTTCTTTAGCATAACCAATATGGTTTTTGATCAAATTATTCTACGGAACATGCACTTGGGCAACTTGTTGAAGTTATCAGTGGAGCATCTTCTTATTACAAATTTTTTTTTTTGACTTGTCAAAAGCATTTGACACCGTGAACCATCAGATTTTATAAAAAAAACTAAAATATTATGGAAGCCACGAATGCCGTAAATGGTTTACCAATTACTTAACAGATTGAAAGCAGTTTATTTCTCCAAATAACGGTTTTCAGAAAAACAAACTTAAAATATCATGTGAGGTTCCACAAGCCTCCATCTTAGGTCTGCTGCTGTTTTTAATCTATGTCAACAATCTATATAAAGCATCAAATACTATGTCTACTATCATGTTTTCAGACGACACCACTTTAGTCTATTCTCACAGTAACATTATCTCTCTATTTCAAGTAGCAAATAATAAACTAGAACAAATATCAAACTGGCTTATAGCTAACAGCCTATCTTTAAACACTGAAAAAAGTTTTCTTTATTCCATTCTAAACGAAAGTTTCAATATATTCCAAAATCCTTACCAATGCTATATATAAATAACATCAAAATTGAGCACTTATTCACAAATAAATTACTTGGTATTTTAATAGATGGAAACTTATCCTGGAGAGATCATATTAAACATATTAGCAAGAAACATTGACATTTTATATAAAACTAGACAAATCTTAGACAAGTCTACAATAACTCAGCTATATTATACATTCATAAATAGTTATTTATCTTATGTCAATGTTGTTTGAGCTAGTATAAATAAATCTAAACTCGAATGTCTCCTTAAACAAAAGAATCATGCAGCACGCATTATTCATTTTCAAAATCGCTTCACAAATGCTAAGCCTCTTCTAAAAAGCATGAGGGCACTTGATATTTATGAACTAAATATTTTCAAAATTACACAATTTATGTTCCAACATCAGTCAAAAAATACGCCGAAGGTTTTTGAAAATATTTTCCCTAAAACATTAAACCGATGCAATACTCGATCTACCGGAAGATAGCAAACTTGGTTCAGTTATAAACATATCAATGCCATTAAATGTCTAATTTGTATATAATAAAAACCAGTTGGGGCAACTAACTTTTTATCTCCTGGCTGGGTGATTGTGTATCAGAGAGATTATTTTAGTCAGCACTCTGACTTGCGGTCAGAGTGCTGATTTTTATCACTTGCTGCTGTTATTCGATAAGTATTTTGTTTTTTTATGTAAAACAATATGGTTGTATTTTTAGGTTAAATATTTATTAATTTGCTTATTAAAGCCTTCAATACCAGCTTGAGTTTTAATTTACTATGAATAATTCACTACTCAATATTAAAAATGCTATTGGGGCAACATTAAAAATCATAGCTTTTACAAAAGACTACAACTATCTGGACGCAAAATCGAGACAGCTTTCTAATATTCCAACCCATAATGTTCATGAATAGAGGAATTTGATGTAAAAAATGTTTTCCGTTAGTTATATGACTGAGAAGATCACTCAATTTGTTAGATTGTACCATGTTGAATATGAATGCCTTTGATCATTTTAATGAGTGTATTTTTTGCAATCTTATAATGATTGCCAATTTGAATAATAACTTATAGTTTGCAAACTAAATCCATCAAAATTGAGTTTTGCATAATTTATTTAATTTCCTGACTTTAGCAAGATGTATAAGTTGCTGGCCACCCTGATTATTTATAAATAATAAATTAAATTTATAGGAAAACATTACCCAGCGGGTATGGGAATGTACCATGAACGTTCAGACAAAACGTCTGACGCGTTTTGTCTGAACGCATTCTAAACTGATTCTAGATTAGGCGCTCAAAGACGTCCTTAGGACGATCTTCGGACATTGTAAAAAGACTTGAATAAGACCTTCTGTTTAAGTACAGTCATACAAAATTGGTCGAAAAAGACATTTTTAAACGTTCAAAAAACGTTCTGAACATCTTTTGAACTTTTAAAAGAAATTTATTATGCAATGAGCGTGTTTTAGGAATCACAGAATTAGTTGGGTTTTGGGGACAAAAATTTAACGTTCAGTAATCATAGCAGAAACCCGTGGGCCTTATTAATTAAAACAATTAAAACAAAAAATTAAAAGTATTCACAAGATTAAAACATATTTCAAATTACAGATCTAAAAAATATTTTAAAAAATGCCACTGAGGTTTAGTTTTTCACTGTCACCGACGTCTTCACTATCCGGTGCTCTTTTTAGGATATCTCCAACGCAATTTTCTTGTTCACACTCGCCATACTTGGGAATGGTCTCTGCAAAAACAAATATATATATATATATATATATATATATATATATATATATATATACATACATACATATATATATATATATATATATATATATATATATATATATATATATATATATATATACATACATACATATATATATATATATATATATATATATATATATATATATATATATATATATATATATATATATATATGTATATATATATATATATATATATATATATATATATATATATATATATATACATATATATATATATATATATATATATATATATATATATATATATATATATATATATATATATATATATATATATATATATATATGTATGTATGTATGTATATATATATATATATATATATATATATATATATATATATATATATATATATATACATACATACATATATATATATATATATATATAAATATATATATATATATATATATATATATATATAAATAAAAGATTTATAGAATATACAATAAAGAATATAAGAAAAATTTAATCAAGTCAGCTTTTACATATGTAAAGGCTAACTGAACAATTGTTATTATGTGAAGGCTAACTGAACTGATAGTATTATGTTACTCTATTAATATTAATATACTCAAAAAATTATAACTTATAATATTAGTACCAATACTAAGTTCCACAAATAGGTTTAAAACATTTTCTACAAAAAAGACGGTTTAATGCAAAACATTTAAACAGAAAATAATTAGTAAAATAATATTTTACATCTTCATTCTTTTATTTAGTTTTTTAAAAAAAAAAATTTAAAAAGCAACACAGGATTTATCTATTAACAACTGATATAGAATGATTATATGATTGCATTAAGTTATCATTTAATATAACACTTCTGACACATGTTCGGTGTAATTGTCAAATATGAGTGATTCCTTTCCTATAGTTTGTATAGTTTGTTTAAACATTTCTTAGCAAGAGGTCCACTTTTGCACGTTTCAAATACTTTTACAGTGCTGATGGTTTTCTTCTTCTTCGAGTTTTCTTTTTTTAACAATGTTACTTTTGACTTCAGTTTCAGTGTCGATAAAATTACGTCTCAATGGTTTCTCCTGTTTCACTTCTATGACATTTTCTTCCCCGCTCCCTTGTTTTAAATTTCGATTAAAAGTAGTTTTGCTAAGGTTGTCTACAATAAAATATATTCATGTGATAACTATTTTTAAGTTATTTATACTAAAATGAATTCAAATAACCATGATTTTGAAAAATTGTTTAACATTTTTCAAACTAATAAGTTTAACTTTATTAATGAAACTGATCCAGATTTGTATTTTTTTAATGAAATTAAATACTGAATTTAAATCCACTTATTTTTATTCAAACAAAGTAAAAGATTTTTAGACACTTAATGAGAATAATAATTATTAAATGAATGTAACTAATATAAATATTAAGAGTTTAAAAAAGAATTATGAAAACTTAAAATGTTTACGAAACTAATGTCTCTTAACTCTATTTCCGTAACTGAAACTTGGAACACTTGCTGATTTTTAAAAATCCTACAAACTACCTCGTTTTAATCTAGTTAATTTAGAGTCAAACAATTATAAACATAGGCGAATTCTTTTTTTTTTTCATAAAAAATAATCTTTTGTATAAATTTCGACGCGTTTTTATTTCGACGTCTTATAATATAATGAGATTTTAGCAACTGAACTGATCAAAAAGAAATCAAAAAACCTGCTAATAATCTGTTGCTATTGCCACCAAATGTAAGAGCTGAAAAATTTTGCAACTTCTTTCAAAGAGCTTATTAAAAAAAAACTAGTCTAAAAAAAAAGTTATCTAATAGAAGATTTTAATCTATATACGAAAATTAAACTATTAAAACTTTTTACAACGTTTAAAATGAAAACCAATAATCAAGTCGAAGTCTACAATACAAATTTTTCCTTAGGTGAAATAGCTTTCTAAAATCAAAGAATTATTTCCTTGAATTTCTAAAGGTCTTAAGAAATGTTTAAAAATCCAACAAAAACTGTTTAAAAATCCAACAAAAACTGTATGTTAAAACAGAAATGTTTAAAAATCCAACAAAAACTGTATGTTAAATGCTTAAAATCTAATTCAGAAAAACATAAAATAAGTTAATAAACCTAAAAATGTTTTCTGGTAAAACTTCGCAAAAATGCTTAAAAAAAAATACTATTCTAACTTGCTCTATGAAAAAAAAACATGATTCAAAGCGTCTCAGTTGACTTATAATGAACTTGAAGACGCTTTTAAATTATTAAAACAAAATAAGGCAAAATGAACTGATCATATTAATGAAGACATTATAATAGAATTTTACGACGTAATGAAAGGCATTTTTTAAAAAATATTCAGTGCATCCATCAACTAAATATTTTTTCCAGATCACCTAAAAATATCAAGCTATTTTCAAGCCTGGTGATCATTCTAATATATTCTACTATAAAATAACCCTATTACAATTCTTTCATTTTTCATTAAAAATATAGAAAGAATAATATATAATCGAGTTTCTATGTATTTTAATGACAAAATATTGCTATATGAAAATTAATTCATATTTAAAAGAAACAATTCAAATTAGCACGTCATTCTCCAACTTACACGCAGCATCTCATTATTTTTTAAATTAGAGTGTTTATAGACCTGTCAATTGACATCAAAAACGGTTTTGATGTCAATTGAGAGTGTGAAGTCCTATATAAAGTCTACTCATCATCTAAGTGTAAGATATTCAAGCTCAAAATTTTTAAATAAAAATGTTACAAATCACCATGGATAAAAAAAGTTCCGGTTAAACTAATTTTATTATAAAACGTACCTAGACAATATTCATTAAAGGGTCAAAAAATTACAATTCTAGAATGCACTTCTTTTTCATACATTAGTGAAATAATTTTTCAAGACATGTGTTTTAAAATCATAAAAGTACATGTTCTGATATTTACTTTAAAATAAATTCAATCAAGTTGGAATAAGATACAATATCAGCGTTTAATATTTAAAAAAGCGACTTAAACTCCTCTCATTAGTCTTAATCATACCCTTTTTTTTCTCCTTTATTCAATCCATACTTTCAACGCAGGGCTAAGACATGAGCCTGGCCCCCGGTGGTTTTCAAGTTATTGACACGTGTTGCTTGTTGTAATAGTGAGAATTAAATTGGGAAGTGGTCAGATATATCCGTTTTAATTATTCCTACTTTTATATATGCATCAAATGCATATATAAAAGTAGTTTTAAATATGCATCAAATAAAAACTTTTTTTGGTCTTTCTTGGTTTAATGGCCTTGGAGCCCCATATAATTAGGAGCCCCCCAAAATGTTTTAAAAAATTATTTTTTCTTTTGAATAATGTTTTAATATAATATTTTGTTGTGAATTAATCAATAATGCAAATAATGCGATTTAAACATTTATATTTATTATTATTCTACTTTATTTATAAAAATACTTAAAATATAAAATATAAAAATACTTAAATATTTCTGTGCAAGGTAACCCTGTAATTAAGTAGCGTAAGTTTTTTGCGCTCTCATCCATAGAGACTTGAAAACTTCAAGAATGGAAGTTTTCAAGTTTCTTAGAAATTAATTTGAGAAAAAGCGAAGTAAATAAATTTCAAAGTATTCTTTGAAATTATATTATCTATTTATATTTTAATAAATAGTTTTAAGTAAATAAATTTAAAACTAATTATTTAAATAACTACTTTGAAATTTATTTACTTCGCTGTTATTACTGCTACTGCTATTATAATTTTTTATTATTTGATTTTTATTTTATCCCTTAGTATTGATAAAAATTTATCTATTTTTATTAGTTCAAATTTTTAAACTACGCGGGAATAGTTGATTGCAGCGCGCAGTGAAAACATTCCATTAAAATGGGTGGCTAAAAATATAATGGTTGTAATTTTGTGCATATTTATATCATATTTTGTGAATATTAAGCCTTAAATGAGTAAAATAGAGACCTAATATAATATTTTTAATTTTTATGTTTAACAGTTATACAGTTATACAAGTATTTGATTTTATAAAAAGAACGCGGAGACTCGCAGAAGACCGTCAGTTCTTGTCATTGAGAACCTCTCGTATTTTACAATCTTAATAAAACATATTCAAATATAGTTGTATATCTCTATAAAAACTTTATAGAGATATAAAAATATTACATGAAATTATGAAACGTTTAAAAATATAAAAATATATTATCCAGAGACAAAATTATTTCTTTAAGTTTATTTTTAAATGAGAGGTAACTCCATTCCAGAGAAAAGTCAAAATGTTTTAAAACTATTTTATAAAAAAAAGAAAAGCTCCGTGAAATGCAATGTTTGTTTTTTCAAAATTAGTTTGCCAAACTAAATTGTCATTTCTCATATTGTATTTATTTTTATCTTTCAAGGTATATAAATTATGGATATTCTTGTTTCCAAACTTTAATAACTTGAACCGAATCACTACAATTTTTAAAATATTTTATTACTAACTTAATAAATTTATATAGTAGACAAACAAATATAAAGTTATACATTATATAGATTATACAGTTTAGAACTTTATTCTTCTACATCTATATCTAATTCTAGATTTTTGTCAACGTTGTCAACATTTAAATGTAATTCATCTAAGTCATTAATTTCATCTGATTCAAATTCAGATGAATTTTCCTTATCATCGCTATAAACTGTTAACAAACTTTTAACTTTTTCCGGTAGGCACAATATTTTCTTACTTTTTAATCTTTTAGCTAATAAGATTGAACTAAATAGGGGATTGGAAGTATGTATACCTAGAATGAAAATGTCAAGTAAGTTTGTTTCTCTACTTTTTTTCCTTGTATGATGTTCACGATCAAATTTATAAATTCTGTGTCGAGACTCAACTGCTTCCTCTCCCATTAAATCAAGTGGAACTGGTAAATTAATAATAATTTCCCCAGCATGTACTAATATTTTTTGAATGGAAGCTGGGACCTTGAACCAATCATATGTCTTTAATAACTTCTTATATGTATCGTTGCAGTATTTAACATTTTTTCCGGATCAATTGGGTCTTTGCAATTAATTGCGATTAGAATGTTATGTAATCTGATAAAATTAATAATAATCTGATAATAATTTTTTCATCCATTTCTAAAATTTTGCTGAATAGTTGAAGGTCAAAAAATGCGTATCTGCATTGATTTCCCGTATTATTAGTTCCTGATTTACCAGCTTTTGGTTAATCAACTCTCAAACCAAATTCTTCAAACATCCTATAATGTATAATTTTTTCTTTCAATAAATATTGATTTTCTGAAAACCTTTTCTACTTTCCAAGTTTTTTTCAACTCTATATGAAATATGTATAAATTCAAAAAACCTAATATAAGCATGTAGTGGTCAAATGCCATAGCACAATGCCTGCCCATTTGTAACAAACCCTTCCTTAAAGATTTTTTAAATTGCTCATCATGTTAGGTGCGGCGTAACAAATCGGATAACATTGTGTCGAAAAAGTCTCCGTGATGTAAAGTAAGATTTTTCCATCAATCATTGAAAGGACAAAACTATAGTTGATAAAAACATATTTATGTTCTGAAAGGTAAACTTAAACAGTATATAAATTAAGAACTTCTTTTTCAATTCCTTCTTTAATTTTTAATACCACTTCTTTATTTTCGTTTACATACTCCAGTATAATTGGTCTACAGAATCTAATACTCTGAGACATTATGTTATTCTATAAAATTTTGTTTAAATCTGATTGTACATGTAGCCGAAGAGGTGATATTACTGTGACTAATAGATCCGAAACTTGAAGGTTATTTTGATTAGAATTATTAAAACGTTGATAATATTTTGAGTGACTTGATGTTTCGTCCATACCCTGACAACTAATTAGTATTAATACATCAAAGTCTTTATTTTTATCATCAACATTTTTAAAATTTTCTTTTCCCGTAGATTCACAAGCCTTTTTTTTTACTTTTTGCAATGAATGAAAAAAATTATTTTTATTCGAAGAAGTTTTAATTTGTTTAAAAAAATATCAATTTTTCAAAATTATTTAGCCCTCAAGATTGCGACTACACTTCTTAGGGTAGTTAGTAGATACTATCAAAAATATCAAAATATGGAAAAGGTACAAATTGGAACAATTTTTTAATTCTTCATCAAATTTAAAATTTAGTACTTTTGTGATGTATTTTTTACTTTTAATGCTAAAAGTTGTACTACCTACTTTTTCAAGAAATTTTTTATTTTTTATTTTTAACAGTCTATTAATCTTTCCAATGATCACACCTCCCACAACAGTGTTAATGTTTTAAAAAAGTGCACACGCCCAAATTAGGTTTTTCTAGCAAGGTATGATTTTAGCGATCACAAAAAAGTATTTCACTAAATTTGAAAAGCATGTCCCATCAATTAACAGTGTTTTTTTCATTTTAAAATTAAATAATCAAATAGTTTTAAAATAAGTAAACGATTATATTTGTAATTCAATTATATATATACATATATATATATATATATATATATATATATATATATATATATATATATATATATATATATATATATATATTTTATTTTTTTTATTTTTTTTTATTTTTGTTCTTTATTACATTTTAAACAACATTCCGTTATAAATATACAAATTAAAAAATAAAATATAGAAGTTACAAGAAAATAACAAAAAAGAAAAATCGTAAATAAGAAATAAAAGAACGCGGGGACTCGTAGAAGACCGTAAGGTCTTGTCGTCGAGAACCGCTAAAATGAACGTGATACAAACAAATTAAAAAAATTCAGAAAACCCGTTATAAATATAAAGATCAGTTATATAAATACTATATAAGTTAATAAATATATAAATTGTCGTATATATTGATATATATTCTTGGTAAATGTATAAATTATAAAATAATAATAGTTCTTTGATAAGTGGAGGTAAAATGGGAAAACTATTAAAAATTATTAAAAGTAAATTGATAGATCGTCAATTGTTAAAATTAATTCTTTTAACTTTCGTTTAAAAGAGTTGTAGTTACATTGTTGGATAAAATCTTGAGAAAAGTTTTTTAAGACAATTTTGTTCCATAAGAATGGTCCG